AAACATATCCACATAAAGACTTGAACACCAAGGGGTACATAACAACCCCGAACTGGAAACAATGCAAATATCCATTTATTTGGCATATTCATACAATAGAATGTTATCATTCATAAAAAGGAGTGAAATACTGATTCATGGTACAGCATGGTTGCCAGAGGAGTATCTGGTAACTGGGCTGGGTTTCTTTGGGAGGGTAATGAAAATGTTTTGGAATTGATAATGGGGCAATGGTGCACAATCTTGTGAATATATTAAAGCTACTGAATTGTACCCTTTAAAATGGTGAATTTTATGATGTATGAATTATATATCAGTTATCTAAAAATATATTCATCTTGATTACTGAGTTTTTTGGTTCCTCTTAAATTTTGTGCCTGAGGCAAGTGCATTACCTCACCCTAGAAATGGTAGGAAGGTTGGTACTTAGGTGTGAAGTACCAACAGCTGACAGTAGAGAAGAGGAACTCCAGTGAGTTGATAGAACTCTGAAAGCAATAGTCTATGCGTGTTCAATGTAGGAGCAGATTCTGTATGTCCAGAAGGCCTGTGCTGTTTAACACTGCCTGCAGTCTTTGATGTCTGTGATTCTGTAATCAGCAGGAAAAGTTAACATCATCATAGCAGATTTATTACTAAAAACTATACTTTATGAAGTAGCATCCTCCAATAGAAATATAATGTAAGCCACAATGTAATTTTAAGTTTTCTAATAGCCACATTAAAAAGGCAAAAAGAAACAGATGGAATTAATTTTAATATATTTTATTTAACTTAATATAGCCAAAGTATCATTTAATGTGTTGCATTATTTTACATTCTTTTTTCATACTGAATCTTTAAAATCAGGTGTATGTTTTACACACAGCACATTTCAGTTTGGATGAGCCATATCATGTGGTTCAGTCACCACATGAGGCTAGGTGGCGACCGTATAGATAGTTATGGAGCTATTTTATAAAATCAGACTCAAGGCCTCTATAGAGACAGTGTGGTGTACTGGTTTTGACTGAATACAGATTCAGATTTTGGTTTTGGCTCTAGCACTGTATTCTTAAAACATTTACCGACATCTAATCTCAAAATTTATGTCATCTGTTTCTATGATCAGACATGTAATACTGGAGAGAAGTAAAGTGTCATTTTATTGTTCTAATTACTGCAGGACCCACTGAAGGAAGTGGTTAGTTCTACTTGGATAAGGCTCAGTGGTGGTCAGTGTCTTCATGAAGGGGTACGGAGTTTGAGCCTCATCCTGGAACATGAGGTCGTTGAAGGGCAAAGACAACATCAAAGAGGCTGAAAGTAATACTGCCCAGGAACAGCGGTGTCCAACTGTTTGGTGTCTCTGGGCCACACTGGAAAAAGAAGAGTTGTCTTGGGCCATACATTAAATACATTGCAAAACATAATCACAAAAAGATCTCATAGTGTTTTAAGCAAATTTATGATTTTGTGTTGGGCAGCATTTCTAGCCATTCTGGGCTACATGTGGCCTGTAGGCTGTGGGTAGGACACCCCTAGCTTAGAAGTTTAATTTGCCTGGAGCCTGGATGTGCGTGGCTGAAGGAGTAGTACAGCTGAAGGAGTAGAGCTGGGGACCCTGTTTTTGCAGGGCACCTACAAAGGAGTTAAGATTATATTCCATATTAGGCAGTGAGGATCCACCAAAGAACTTTTAAGAAGATGTCACAAGGTGGAATTTGTTCTTTTTTACTTTAACACCTTGGACAAGTCACTTGACCTTTCAGATATGCCTCTCAGTTTCTTCTGCAAAACCAGTGGATTGAAATTCTCTATGAGTTGCTCTGAAGATTAAGTGAACTTGTCTAGTGACCAACCTCAAACTCCTGGTGAACTGAGAGACTGCTTTTCTGGTAGTTTCCTTGTTTTTCCATAGGACTAGTTCTTCTGCATGGCCATGTTCCAGTAGTTCCCAGGGAAAGCTTTCAAAAATGTAAATTCTTTAGATTCAATAATAAGTTTTAGGGTGGTGCCCAACATCTCTGTGTTTAACAAGCTCTCTCAGTAATTACTGTGTAGCCACCTGTTTCAGGTGTGCACACATAGGGTAGTGCAGAGTTCACTTTCTCAGCTCTTTCATTATAGGACTCTGGGGCATTAGGCAACACCGCTTCTTCCTGCCTACATGTCAGCTTCCACGTCCTTTTGCCTGCTTGATGTTTTTTAGACCTGGCTGTAATCACAGTGATAATTACCAGTGGCCTAGGGCTCCCCTGTGAGATTGACCAGATGGTCCTTAGGTGGCCTGTGGCTCCTCACAGAGTGTCTCATTTAGTTGGTATTTGGCAGCTTCCATACATGTATGTAAAGTCTTCACATACCTTAGCCAGCACTCCTTATCTTACTTAGTTGATTTATTAACATGAAGTCACTTTTTAACTCTTTCACAAAGAGCTGAGCAATCCCAACTGGTCAGTTAATTCAGGGTGGTTATTTTCCTTTTTCTGTTATTACTGTTACTATTAACGCTGTCAACTGAAAATTAAAATCAGCAGTGGGTTTTGCCACCGACGACGATTTATTTGGGAAAGAGAAAGGGTTACAACCCAGTGCACGCAGACATGGCAAGTAGTGCACACCCTGCCCTGCCAGCCCAAATGGGGGTGTTTTACCAAGAGAAGAGGCAGTTAAGGGAAGGGGAAGTTAGAACCATGAAGCTTTATTATGAGCCCAGAGTTTTTCCTGTGGAATTCTCACATCTCTCCTGATTGCATACGACTTCCTGAAGACTTAGCTCCTCTCACAGACCCTCCAGACTGACTATGTTTTTCTTAAATTTCTAGTTAGTCTTTATCAGTGCTGTCATTTAGCTATTGCCATCATTAATGCATTTACCTTCAACATTATAGTGCTCCATGCTAGATCACAATAACTCTGTTAAGGGGAAAGTCACTACTGGAACAATGAAGAGTGCCTCTGAATGTTGAAATTTCCCTCCTTGATTTCTTCTCATGATTTTATGTTTTGAAATTCTGATTGGATACAAACAAAACTGTATGTTTCACTTAGCATATCGACTTGGACTTTGCCACCACCTGTTGTGGTCAGAAAGCTGATTTTGACCTTATGTCTATCTTAAGATAGTTACTTTTAATAATAGAGAGTGAGAAATAGAAGCATTGTGCTAAAGAGAGATCAGAAAATTTGTCTTACACCCTAGCGTGGTGGCTTAGTTATTTGCAGCCATCATCCGGTACACCAAAGGACTGTGGGTTTGATTCCTGGTTAGAGCACATAACCAGGTTGTGGGTTCTATTCCTAGTTGGAGCGTGTGTGGGGGCAGTAGATCGATGTTTCTCTCTCACATTGATATTTCCCTTTCTCTTTCCCCACTTCATCTATCTCTCTAAAAAAATCAATAAACATGTTCTTGGGTGTGGATTAAAAATTATTTTAAAAAAGTTTATTTTGTGACTGCTGCTTGTTCATGTCAAAATACCACAAAACAATTTATGGTAGGCTGCTCACTTAATGGGTCTCCTGCTAGCAGGGGAAATTATTTAAGTCCTTTCTAATCCACCTCAGAAGAAAGTACCTTTTGTAAACATGTGCATTTTTATACCTAAGGCACTCACATGGCCTCTTTCCTGTTGGTTTTGGGTTCTAGTGGTGTTGCCCGTGCACATGGATTGTGTCCACAGCAGTGGAGGGATGGTGTGGGAGTGGCAGCTGTGGCAGGTCCTATGATAGATGTTAGGCAGAAGTAAATGTTCCCTTTATTTCATCCCGACAGAGACCTGTTCAGTTTTCTCAAGGTGGTGTGTTGCTCCCCACCACATAAATACTGGTGGCCCTTCTGCTTATCTTTTTCCTTCATCTGCAACCGCACCTTGTGTTCCTCACTTTCTTTGATGTGTATTCTATTCCCTTTAGCCTTCTCTTCTGGAAGATCTGCTTTCTTACTCTCACCCACATGCCTTCCAGCCCTCAGCTTTTCTCTGTGCCACAGTCTGCTCTTAGAAGAGACTCTTAATGTTGCAAAGAAGAAACTGAAAGGGAATTGGCAGTAAATAGAATCTGAGTGGGAAGAAAGAATTGAAAAAAGTGTCTCAAGCCCTTCCAAAGGCTGGAGGCAATTCATTTAACATCTTTCAGGTGCCATGAAGGTATGTTGGGTTGGAATGGAAACAGTTAATACCCAAACAACTTTTGCTGCCAGAAAAATGATTTGTGATGAGCCATTGGTAGTTTTGAAGATTTGTTCTATGATTACGGGGTTTTAATGTCATGTCTATTTTTTTGTTTGGAAAAATGATTGGATATCAGCAATTTTACATGATACAACTTAATAGTAGCAGGCATTCTGTGGTGTCTATTGCATCGGCATTTGGGAGGAAGATTTGTGTCTTTTCTACTGCCTAACAACTGATTTTCTTGCTGGACAGTTTAGAGATGGGAGGAATTTTTGCTGATTTATTTCAAAATACAATTTTATTAGGACTTAGTTAATATTAATATTGTCAATATTGTAGGATTTATGGGTGCTCTCATTTTAATTTCTTCTGAATTAGAAAATAAGAAGCAAAACAGTATAAACTTGGTGCAATTTAAGAAAATTAAGATCTGCAAAATGGACGTGATTATTCATGTATCAGAGGTATTCTTCCCTTGGCAAAAGCCAAGCCTGAAGTCCTTAAGATACTTCATTTATATGGTGTATTTAAGAATCAGTTTTCACATCATTAATAGCTTGATGGATTAAGATAAAAAGAAAATGAAGTCATGGAATCCATTGAGGATTAATCTGAAAATAAGATTTTAAGTATTTCTAAAATTCTAGACATAGCCAATAGAAAAAATGGTAAGTTAATAACACCAATTTTGAAGAATTTGTGGTATAATTACTGCTTAGATTTAAGAACTCATGAACTAACTTTATCTTTCAGTGAGAAACAGTATCTTAATGAAGTTACTGTTTATGCTTTCCTGAGTCTTCCTCCTTTCTTCTAAATTTTCCTGTATTTTTTTTTTTTAAGGTTTCCATACCTGGATTGTCAATGAGGGCTCATCTTCTCCAATGGCAGTAAGACTTGTTTACTGGGGGTCTAGGTGAGTGTATGTGGATTTCTCTTTGATTTATTATTCCATTTGATGTGGCTCCATAATTTCCTTTAAATGTGCAGTCCTGGCTGGTGTGGCTCAGTAGATTGAGTACTAGACTGCAAAGCAAAGGGTCACCGGTTCGATTCCCAGTCAGGGCACAGGCCTGGGTTGCAGGCCAGGTCCTCGGTTGGGGGACACGTGAGAGGCAACCACACATTGATGTTTCTTTCCTTTTCTTTATTCCTCTCTTTCTCTCTCTATAAATTAAATAAATAAAATCTTTAAAAAATGTAAAACTTTCTGGTACTCCAAGTAAATAACTGGAGGTAATTTTTTGTAAATATTAATAGTAAAACAAACAAATTGAAATGAATTCTTACATGAAAGCCTAACTTAATTTTGCTTTTTAAAAATGTGATGAATATGTTCAGACATCGACTGAAATTCAAGTTACACAAGATATTTCGTTAAGGATTTTAAACTGGTTGAGTGTGCCTATAATGGACATTTCTGTCTTAGTGGTAATTAATCACCTACTGTAACAAAAGGTTATTGTGTTCCTGTTAACATGTGTTCAGCAATATCAACTGACATAAATAGGACAAGGGGAGCAGCAGCATTTAAGGGCTTGCTTTGAGTGGAGGACGTGCTTGATAACTGAACTTACTGGAAAAAAGACCAGATTTTTTTTTTTTGAGAAGAGTAGGAGTTAATACAGTACAAACAGAGTTTATTAAACTAAGAGTAAAAGCTTTAGTGAACAGCCAAAACTCCAGAAAGCTGAAAGCATTTGCGAAAAACTTTTCTGAGGGCTGCTGTGAGCCCCATTGGTATTTTGTGCAAATTAGATGAAGTCACCCCTTCCACAGACATTTTACTTCCACTGGATGTAAAATTGTTGGACTTTACTGATTTTGTATTATATTTATTTTTTAAAATATTGGCAATATGATTATATTAAACATTTAAGATCATCTAGTAATATACATATAAAAAAGTTAAAGGACAAGTAATAGAATAGGAAAGTATTTGCAATACATCTAAAATAGGGTTAATAGTTTTTTGTTTTTTTAGGAAAAAATTCTACAAACATTTAATCAAAAAATGGATAAAGAATACCAAAAAGTCATTTAAAGCTTTTTAAGAATAATAGAAATAGGCAAGAAATATACAAAAACAGGTTAAGTTTCACCAAATAATAAAGGAACAATTAAAATACATCATTGTCACGATCAGATTAGTAAGTATTAAAAATATTGGTAATATCAAGTATTGGTTACTGTATAAGGAACTGGGTATTCATAGACTCTTTTTCTTCATCTTCTTAAAGAAGCCCCTTTATCATATTTTGCAATGCTGGTTTGGTGGAGGTGTAGTCTTTTAGCCTTCTTTTGTCCAGGAAACTCCTTTTGCCTTCCATTTTAATCGAGAGCCTTGCTGGGTAGAGAAGCCTTGGGTTGCAAGCCTTTGCTTTTCATGACATGGAATAGTTCTTGCCATTCCCTTCTGGATTGTTTAGAAGTCCGCTGCTTCGTTGTACCGGGGCTCCCTTATATGTTACTATCTCATTCTCCCTTGCTTCCTTTAGGATTCTCTGTTTGTCTCTGCTATTTGCCATTTTAATGATGATGTGTCTTAGAGTGGACCTCATTGGGTTCTTCTTGAATGGGACCCTCTGTGCTTCCTGGACTTGTGTGACTTTTTCGCTCCTCAGATTAGGAAAGTTTTCCATCATTACTTTTTCAAACAGGTTCTCTATCCCTTGCTCCTCTTCTTCTGGTATCCCTCTTATATAGATATTATTACGTTTCAGGTTGTTCTGCATTTCCCTAAATGCCTCTTCATTCTTTTTGAGTTTTTTTTTCATTTTATTGTTCTTTTTTTTTCCACCTTATCCTCCAGCTCGCTGATTCAATCCTCAGCTTCATTGAGCCTGCTTTTCATTCCTTCTACTCTGTTCCTCAATTCAGAAATTGTATTCTTCATTTTCCTCTTGCCTCTTATTGATAGTTTCTCTGTCCCTTTTCATGATGATATAATTTGCAGTAAGTTTCTCATAGTTCCCCTGTAGTTTTTGGTAATTCCCTCTGAGCTCACTGAGCTCATTGAGCTTCCTTAGAACTGTTGTTTGGAACTCAGTATCTGATAGTTGACTTGCCTCTATTTCATTTAGTTCTCTTTTTTTGGGATTCCTCCTTTCCCTTCAACTAGGGGGTGTTTCTTTGTCTTCCCATTTTTTGAGAGACTCTTCATTTCTGCTTCTGCTTCTTAAGTTAATCTGTCTTGATTTCCTGACTTTGTGGTGTGAACTTCTATGGTAGGAGACTGCTGTTTTTTCTTTTTGGACCTGCCTCTGAGGATGTCAGATGTTGACCCTGTCTGGCCTTGGGCAGTTTGTTTGAAACTTCCAGGAATCTACTGTCTGTGGCTGTCTCCTTCAGCTGTTAATCAAGTCACTCTGCACTCAGAAGTCTGGCTTAGACACCACAGGGCAGGGCCAAGTCCCTCCTGGGGACAGGGTTATTGGTTCCTCCCATGCTGCTGCTGCTCATGGGAGTGGTCTGCCTGAGCCACATGGCTGCTGCTGTATGGGGGAGGAATCAGTCCTGGGATCCCGCCAGCTCTTCTCTCCATTCTCCCCCAAAGTCTTCTTCCCCAGTCTCTCCTCAAGTGTCTCTAGACCACTCTGTGCCCTGGTTAGCTTGGGATGTACTATCTGTGGCTGCCACTCTGTACGCAGCAGTCAAGCTTTAGCACTACTGGGCCAAGGACAAGTCCCTCCTGGGGGCAGGGCTGTTGTGTCTGCTCAGGCTGTTGCTGCTCAGGGGAGTGGTCTGCCTGAGCAAGACGGCTGTTGCCATATGAGTCAACATGGGGATCCTAGTGGCTGCTCCCTCAGTTCTCTCTCCAAAGCCTCCTTCCTTCTCCTCAGGCATCTCTAGACCACTCCATCCCTGCCTTTGCCAGAGACCTGGGTAAGTGGTTGTGAATAAAAATTGATGCATTGGCCCTTTAAATGGCTCTTTGCATCTCCAGCTGCCTGTCTCTGACAGAAAGCTACCTTGCAACTTTTCGCAGTTGGCTGTTATCTTCATATTTTTTGGGCTCTGGTGCTGTAGGCTGAAGATCCCTGCTTATGGTTTAGACCCCGCTCATCTCAGAGGGATCCAACTGGTAGTTTCAATATCTTTCTGGTGCTGTCATCTGTGGGTGCCTTGCATGCCTTCTCGAGTCTCTACTGCACTCCTTACCAGTTAGATTGTGCTAATGCTGATTCTTTTGTTTGTTTAAGGTTATAAGTCTCCTCTCTCCCTATTGTTCAATTGGTTGTTCCAGGTGATTTCTCTGCAATTTAGCTGTAATTACAGATTGGTCCTGGGAGGAGGTCAGTGTGACTTCTACTCACTCCTCTGCCATCTTGATTCTCCTCTGATTATTTAGAATAAGACACTTTATTGCCACATGCAGGGAAATTTCAATTTAAATAAATTGCCCATCTTTAAATCATCAAAGTTGTATTAAAACGTAATTTTAAAGTTAATACAGATGCTAGTAATGCAATTGATGTCCCTTTAAACATGGTGGCCTTGCATGTGCACCCCTTGAACAACTGCTAGGCTGGCTTTGTTTTGTTGGGATTCAGCTCAGGACAGACTCTCAGGAAGGGATGCTTTTTTTTTTTTTTTAAGTTCTAGTCATTGAGAACAGAGGCTAGAAATGCTAGTTTGGGGTTTGGCTTTGGTTGGACACTTGTGTTGCATGAAAGAAACTTAATAGAGAGGCAGCAGGGTTTGTAGGTTGGAGGCCAAAAGGGATAGCTTGAGCTTTTTAGGGGTAAAACCAGGAAAGGAGAACCAAAACTGTGTTTTAAGCCAAAGCTGTGACCATGTTCCTGCAAGTTAGTGGTACAGAGTGTGTGCCTTCAGATTCCTAAGACAGCTGAAGTGGCTCTATTCTGTACATTACCAACTCTGTGATGTTCTTGTTCTCAAAGACTATTTAAACTTGAGGGGGCTTTTTTCCATTAAAAGAAAATTGCTTTCAAAATGTTAGTGTGTTTGTAATGGATGCTCTTCCATATTTGTGAATTTTTGTGATTAATCTTCTGATGAAACAACAGGTATTATGTTGCTCTTAAAAATGGGTGGATATTGATCGACAAATACAGGGTAAGAAAGGTGCAGCGATATTTTGGGGCCAGAGGTAGGGCTGCAGGTGGAGAATGTGACATGACTGATGTGTTACTGAGAGAAAGAAGGACAGACATGAGAAGAAACAATGTAGTTGGGCTAGGTGGTGGTGGTGGGCATGGTAGTTAGGTCATGCGTGAAGTGGTGGTGGTTGCAGGGTGGTCAGGATGGTGGTGGCAGCTGGGGTGGCCATGGTGGAGGGGCAGCAGCAGCTGCCATGAAGCTGAGGACTCATATTAGTGGAGGATATGGGAGATGGAAAGATGCCAGGCCAAAGACACAAAATATATCGCCTTGGAAAAAGCCTTTGCTCCCTTAGGTGCTGATGACAGAATTGATTAGAGGGAAATTAAAGGGGCTTCTCTTTGTGGAACACTAAGCTGGTTTTCTTATTGTATCATATATCGATTCCTTCATCCCAGGAGGACATTGCCTAACCTTAGGAGAAATAGTAACAAGACCACAGAGAGGAGTTATATATAATTTCACTTAATGCCAATGTTTATATCCCATATTCCTGCTTGAGGCCCACATTTCCTTCACCTGTGTGTGCATGGGCACGCGTGCTTCATGGGAGGTGTGATACTCTAAATACAGAAGTAGAAGAACACATGATCAGTTAAGATAGACATTTATGTGATTTCAGCGAAGAGGCCCTGGTGTTATTACATCTGAAACCTCTCTCCCCACCCCACCCCCGACATATGCGTGTTCTATGTTTTGGTGAAAGAAATGATGTGGATTTTTTTTTTTAAATGAGTTAAAGGGGCAGAAGGAAAAGGGGAAAAAGGATTAGGAAGACTTATATGAGTGTTT